ACATTTTTGGATATGGCCAGAATGGGAATGGCTTTTGACTATACATATTCGTTATAAGGATTTTTTTTTTCATTTGAATCCAGAAAGGAAGAGAGAGAGCCTAAGGGACTCCCCCTTCTTTTTTATTTTTAAATATTTTTATTAATTTATTTTGATTTATCAACAATTATTTCCATATGCTTTTGAGTTTAAAATTTTCCTCCCCCTTCCCCAAGACGGCACACAATCTAATATAGGTTATACATATACATTCCTATTAAATATATTTTCACATTAGTGATGTTATAAGTAAAAATTAGAACCAATAGGAGGAACCACCAGAAAGAGGAAACAAAACTCAACAGAAGAGAAAAGAAATGGTAATTCAACTTTCATAAATCTTTCTTTGAATGTGGATAGCATTTTCCATCACGAGGCCTTTGGAGATGTCTTAGATCCCTGTATTGCTGGGAAGGGTTAAGTTTATCAATATTAGTCATCACACAATGTGGCTGTTATTGTGTACAACATTCTCTTGGTTCTGCTCACCTCACTCAGCATCAGACATGTAAGTCTTTCCAGGTTTTTCTGAAGTCTACCTGCTCATCACTTCTTATAGCACAATAGTATTCCATTACATTCATATACCACAATTTGCTCAGCCATTCCCCAATGGATGGGCATCCCCTCAATTTCCAATTCTTTGCCACCACAAAAAGAGCTGCTATGAATATTTTTGTACGTGTGGGTCCTTTTCCCATTTGTATGATCTCTTTGGGATATAGCCCTAGAAGAGCTATTGCTGGGTCAAAGGGTATGCACATTTTTATAGCCCTTTGGGCATAGTTCCAAATTGCTCTCCAAAATGGTTGGATCCTTTCACAACTCCACCAACAATGCATTAGTGTTCCAATTTTCCTACATCTTCTCCAACATTTATCATTTTCCTGTTTTGTCATATTGGCCAGTCTGATAGGTGTGATATGGTACCTCAGAGTTGTTTTGATTTGCATATAAGGATTTTTTTCCAGTGCAGATGATGGGAGGAGAGAAGAGGAGAAGAGAAGAGAGAGAGGGTTATACATGAAAATATATTTTCTGTTCAGAATAAAAAATAAAATCAGAAAAAAAAAGACTCAGAGGAGACATGGCAGCTACTTTTGAGTACTTTTAAGGGCTGACATGTAGAAAGGAAATCGACTTTATTTTATCTAGCCACTGAGGGAAGAACTGGGAACAAAACAGTGAAAGTTACAGGGAGGTAGGTTTTGACACTAAACAGGGTGTCCCAAAAGTCTTAGTGCAGTCTTAAGCTTCAGTTGATCTAAGACTTCACTAAGACTTTTGGAACATCCTCTAATTTTTAAAAATGTTCTAACATAGTTGAGGGGGGAAAATGGAATAGGCTGTCTTAGAAAACAAGGAATTGCCTCATTATTGGAAAAACTTCCAGCAGAGGTTGGCTGACCTTATTAAGTATCTTAGAGGGGAGTTTCCTATTGCTCATCATAAGCCTTTGCACTGGTTGTCGACCCCCACACCCCAATGCTCTTCCTCTACTCCTCCCACCTCTCAGAATCTCTAATTTCCTTGTAAACTCGGCCAGTTTCTATATGAGGTCCTTCCCGCCCTAAGCTACTAATGTCTCCCTACCCCTACAAACTTCATATGCACAAAGTTACTTTGTTTCTGGTTTGTATATACCTATATTGTAGTCACTGCTGTCTCCCCAATGGGAATATGACCAAAAGGCCTGGCCCAGATGGCCTTAAGGGTCCCTTCTAGCTCCACCTAGGCTCCAGTGAACCCATGACTGTTCTAGTCAAAGTCGCTTAATCGTGCTTACACACTCACCTTGAACTTCCCTCCCCTAAAACAGAGTCTAAATGCCTCCCCCTCCCACCCAGCTTCCACAATTATCCTACTTTCCTCAGGATAAAACACCTTGCCCCAAATTACTCCCATTTATTAAAGGCAGGTACTATTTCATTCTGGTCTTTATATCTTAGGTATCCAGCACAGAGCTGGGCACACAGTAGGTACGTCATAAATGCTTCTGATCAGGGGCAGCTAGGTGGCGCAGTGCATACAGCACTGGCGCTGAAGTCAGGAGGACCTGAGTTCAAACCTGGCCTCAGACCAAACACTTGACACTTACTAGCTGTGTGACCCTGGGCAAATCACAACCCCAATTGCCTAAAAAAACAAAAACAAACAATAAATGCTTCTGATCAGATTAAAAGAGATGGCTTCTGAGGCCTCCGTCTCCTTGCTGACTCAGTCTATAAGTCTAAGGTAACTTTCAATTCAAGCTTTCTGCCTACTTTATGCACGTTATTTTAGGCTCCGCCATATCAGCACAAGTATCTTCCTGAAATATACACTTCACCAGAAATCAATGGAGAGGGTCAGGAACCAGTTAACTAAAACAGTCTAATGTTTTAGAAAAAAAAAAACAACAGATTTTTTTTTCTTGGTCACTCTATAAGGAGGTAATCATTGCCTGGTCAAATATGCGTATGTGTGTGTATGAATATTCTCATATTCATGCACACACACACACACACACACACACACACACTCACTCCTTCAGCAGGAAATAGTTGAAAGTAATATGAGGTAAGATGTTTCCTCCTGAGGAAAGCAGGATAATTATAGAAGTTATAGGGAGGGAGAGAATATGTATTATAGGGGAGAGGGGATCTAGGGTAAAATATATGAGGTAAGCAATACGTTCAGCTCTAAATACATATACTCTGTTGCTACTCCGTCCAGAATAGTCATAGGCTCACGGGTGCCTAACAAGAGATAGGACAGACCTTAAATGTCATTTTGGTCCAATGCCTTCATTTAAAGATGATGAAATAAGCAAATTAAGAGAGCATGGAATAGTTTGTCAGATTTATGGATAAGGGAAGAATTTAAGACGAAAGAAGATATAGAGAGCATTACAAAATGTGAAATAAATAATTTTGATGATATAAAATTTAAAAGTTTTTGCACAAACAAAACCAATGCAACCAAAATTATAAGGAAAGTAGAAAACTGGGAAAAAATTTTTGTAACAAGTATCTGTGATAAAGGCCTCATTTCTCACATATATAGAGAAATAAGTCAAATTTTTTTATAGCTTTATTTATTTATTTATTTTTTGGCTAGGCAATGAACTTAAGTGACTTGCCCAGGGTCACACAGCTAATAAGTGTCAAGTGTCTGAGGCCGGATTTGAACTCAGGTCCTCCTGACTCCAGGGCCAATACTCTATCCACTGTGCCACCTAGCTGCCCCTAAGTCAAATTTATAAAAACACAGTCATTCCCCAAATGATAAATGGTCAAAAGATATGAACAGGAAGTTTTCAGATAAAGAAATCAAAGCTATCTATAGTCATATGAAAATCACTACTGATCAGAGAACTGCAAATTAAAACAACTCCAAGGCACCACTTCACACCTATCAAAGTGGCTAATATTGACCAAAAAGGAAAATGTTGGATGTTGGAGGGGATGTGGGAAAACTGAGACACTAATGCACTGTTGGTTGAGTTGTGAACTGATCCAACCATTCTGGAGGACAATTTGGAACTAGGTCCAAAGGGCTACAAAACTGCATACCCTTTGATCCAGTAATATCACTGCTGGATCTACATTCCAAAGACATCTAAAACAAGCGAAAAGGATCTATTTGTAATAAAATATTTATTGCAGCTATTTTTGTGATGATTAAGAATTGGAAATCAAAGGGATGCCCATCAATTGGGGAATGGCTAAACAAGCTGTGGCGTATGATTATAATGGAATATTATTGTGGTATAAGAAACGACAAGCAGGATGATTTCAGAAAAACCTGGAAAGACTCACATGAAGTGAACATAGTTAAGTGAACAGAACCAGGAGAACATTGTACACAGCAATATTGTTTGATGAGGAACTATGAATGACTTAGCTCTTCTCTGCAATACAATGATCTAAGACAATCCCAAAGGACCCATGATGAAGCATACTATCCACCTCCAGAGAAAGAACTGATATTGATTGAATACAGACTGAAGCATGCTATTTTTCACTTTCTTTCTTACCTTTTTTTTTCCTTTTATTTGAGTCTTCTTGTACAAAATGATTAATAAAGACATGTTTTACATAATTGCACATGTATAACCTTTATCTGATTGCTTATCATCTTAGGAAGGGGGGAGGGAAGGAAGGAGGGATAGAATTTGGAACGCAAAACTTTAAATAAAAATGTTTAAAAGTTAAAAAAATAAAGATGATGAAGTTTAGAGGTAAATGACTTGTCCAAGTAACTCAGGTCATGTCAATGGGGAAACTCTACCCAGAGATTTCTTCCCTTCCTGATCCTATCCCACTTTATTGTTTTTAATAATTCTATAAGTGTGATGTGATCTGTGTCAACAAATGAGTAACGTGAAATGTTTAAAAGGACCGATAGTGTTGCCATGCCCCCCAAGAAAACCCTGTAAGAACTCAGCTCCACAGCAGCACAGTGAAATATTTAGTCATTGGTCATTTATTAACAGACAAAGAGGGATATTGGCAAGTAAGCAAAAATATGGATGTGATAAAGTTTTAAAAACGAATGTTAAAAATTACTTTTACGTGCAACTGGGAAGTAAGACATACAGGCAAAGGGGCATAAAAATCTATCCTGCCCTACAGGAAAATAGAAAGGGAAGGGGATAAGAGAAGGGGGCAGGTGATAGAAAGAAAATCTGGAACTCAAAATCTTGTGGAAGTGAATGTTGAAAACTAAAAATAAATAAATTTTTAAAAATATAGAGGTGAGAAAGTACAAATGTGTTAAAGGAATGACAAGTAATCCATAGAGAACGTCAATGTGCAGAAGTGGAGAGGAGGTTAGGGTGGGTAGGATAGAAAGGAATTCCTTGCTAATTCAACTCTATACAACCTAATTTTAGTATTAACAAATGCCCTACCCCTCACCCAACTTTCCTTTGTCTTCTAACCCTTGCAGAGCAAGGACATAGGGGATATTCTGGGTACCTGTTCCAGCTCCTCCCCTGGATACAGTGGGAAGGGGTCCTGGGCCAGTCGGATCTCCAGGTCTGCATGCCGAAGTCGAACTTGTCCTGTAGCATCATCAAATAGCACAGAGCCCCCTTTCTCTCGGGCTACAGGGTTAGCTACAATGCAGTAATGTCGTGGTGGGACTGTAACCATACGTGCTGGGGAAAACAGAACCCTGGTGAATAAAAGGAAAGTATAAGAAATTACAAAGACCTTCCCTCGTCCTCTAACTCTTCCCACCCAGCCAGATATATCTCTGAGAGGGCAGGCCAGTGCTCCAGTTGGAGGATGGAAAATAAGATATGGACTCCCAGATAATGAAAGATTAGATTGAGTGAGTAAGGAACATATTCCTCCAATAGACCAAAACCCTTCTGCCTCCCCACACGCTGGCTTGGATGAGGAATCACTCCTACCTGGAAATAAGGACAGAGACAAATGACCTGGAGAGGGGTTGGCCAGATTAACAAGGATTCCTACCAGTCTCCTGCCCAAAACTGTTCTTTTTCTGCATCTCTTTCCTTTTCAGGAGTCAGTGGTTCCTGAAGTCATACTGACCTTTCATTGTCCTGCCGGATATAGGTCTTGGGCCCAACCTCCACACGGGATACATTGCTGTTCTGGTCAAGCACATGGATGAAGTGGTATGGGGGGATTCGGATGATGGAATCTCCCTTATTTGCCATGGTGACTTCAGAGTCAAGATGGCCAGAACTAGGAGTGGTTAACACAGGATCCCTGGTATGAGGAAAAAGAATACAAATGAATGATAGGGAAGGGGCCACAGGGAGCAGAGGAGAAAAAAGAAGGGAGGGAGAGAACCAAGGCTAATAGAAAAGCTTAAACAAAAAAGGATTTTAGGCCCCTAGAGGAAACTTTGATTGCTTCCCTTTTTAACATAGACCAGTAAAAGAAAAACAAAAACAAAGAGGCAACTAGATGGCACAGTAGATAGAGCACCAGCCCTGGAGTCAGGAGGACCCAAGTTCAAATCTGGCCTCAGATACTTACTAGCTGTGTGATCCTAGGCAAGTCACTTAACCTCAATTGCCTCAAAAACAAAACAAACAACAACAAAAAAAACAACACAGACCAGGGGTACCCTTCATGCTGTTTAAGGGCACCTCCCCCCACAATTCCTCCTCACATGGCAGTATGGTTGTAAGAACTCAAGATTCTTAGTATGAGGAAGAGAAGACTTAAGGTCCATTATCTTTAAGTATTTTTTTTTATTTTATTTTTAGGCAGTTGGGGTTAAGTGACTTGCCCAGGGTCACATAGCTAGTAAGTGTCAAGTGTTTGGTCTGAGGCCGGGTTTGAACTCAGGTCCTCCTGACTTCAGCGCCAGTGCTCTATGCACTGCGCCAGCTAGCTGCCCCCCATTATCTTTAAGTATTACAAGGGCCATCATGTGGAAGAGGTATGGATTGGACTTGTTGTGCTTGGCCCCAGAGCGAGGAATGAGGAATCACAGGTAGATGTTTCAGGGAGGCAGATTTTAGTTTAAAGTAAGTAAAAACTCTCTAACAATTAAGAATTGCCCCAAAAAGGAAGAGACTGTTGCAGGAGGGAGGGGATTCTCCCTCAGTGCCATTCCTCCAGTGGATGACCACTGGTCAGGGATATTGTCCAGGAAATTCCTGTTCGGGTATGGGTTGGCCTAGGTGACCACTGAGACTCCTAACAGCCCTGAGACCCTAGGCTCTCCCTAGGCTCTCCCTACCCTTAGCAAGTCTTGATTTTAAGTTTTTAAAATTATAAGGCTGTGCAAAATCCTTCTCTAATGCCTTATTTCACAGAGGCGATCCTAGTTCCTTGAAGGTTTTGTCAATAAACCTTAAGTTCTGGCAGACTCTACTATATGAGAAAGGCTTCAAATACAGTTTTGGTGACAGATTGAGTACCAGAGTAGCTACTACATATAGAGAGGCTGGTTGCCCACTAGGTGATAAGATTCTCTGGCAAAGGCAACCTTGAAAGAGAAAACAAACAACAGTCTTCAGTCTTGTGCGACTCCCTCACAGAAATGGCGGCAGAGTGGTAGAAGAGGGGGGAGAAGGTGCTAAGAAACACAACTTTTAGACTTACAAAGTTGAACTCAACAGCAGATACTCTGGGATTTTGTGTCCAATGGCCAATGACCTGATACTGACCCATATCAGTAACGACAGTCTCACAAATGAAATCAGAAGACAAAAAAATTAAGCTGAATGGGAAGGATGGCTCACATATTCTTCTTGGAAAGACAAAGGAATTGAAGAGATTGTTTCATGAGGTGCCCATTGACAACTAAAGATAAAAATTTCATGGGATACTTGGTTATGTCATCGTGTGGAAGCTCTTACTGAGCATAAGCAAAGAAGACCATTTAGAGGGTGGTATAATTGATATATCCACTGAGGATGGTGAACTTCAAACCAAGCCAACAGAAACTTTGATATCTGGTGATTTCATTGCAAAAGTAGGCATAGAGGAGGATGGCAAGAATAAGATAGGGCTCAGGTTTGAAGAAATTAAAAAGGCTAAAGGTTTATATTCTATTCTGAAAACTCAGACCGATATATTATCATGAATGCTTTGTTCCAGAAGGGAACTGAAAGGTGCTGGACACGGCAAATAAACATCACAAAAATGAAAAGCTGACTATTCTAACAGGAAACTGAATTTCACCTAAATGCTGATCTACTTTTCTTAGTATAGCCAATTTTAACATGTCATGACTACCAAAAACCCCCTTTTTCCTGCATGTCAACAAAGAGGGTAACTTTCTCATTGGAGTTACTGGTTTTTCAGTGGTAACTAGTCTAATCCACTTTGTTAACAGTTGTATGTGTCATTGTTAATAAACTGATTTTTGCTTGGAGTTATGTACCTCAGTTTACCTTTATTGAATTTACTTGTGACAATATCCTGCAATGTGGCTAAAGTTATTTCAACTAGTTTTTTAGTTGATTCTGTAAGTATGCCATCATACCATCTACAAAAAGTGATGGTTTTTGTTTCCTCATTGACTATTTTATTTGTTCAATTTCTTTTTTTTTTAAATTTTTTTCTTTTAATTAGAATTGGGCAATTGGAAGCTAACAATTTCTTTTTTTTGTCTTACTGCTATAGCTGTATTCCTAGTACAATATTGAATAATAATGGTGATAATGGACATCCTTGCTTCACCCCAATGTTATTGGGAAAGCTTTAAGTTTATTCCCATTAAAGATAATACTTGCTCTTGATTTTAGATAGATACTACTTGTTTTAAGAAAGGCTCCACTGATTCCTAGGATATCTAGTGTTTTTAATAGGTGTTGTATTTTGTCAAAGGCTTTTTCTCATCTATCATTTGTTGTTATTGATATGGCCAATTATGCTGATAGTTTTCCTAATATTGAACCAGCCTTGTATTCCTAGTACAAATCCTACCTTGTCATAATATACGATCTTTGTGATATATTGCTGTAATCTCCTTGCTATTATTTTATTTTAAAATTTTGCATCCACATACATTAAGGAAATTAGTCTATAGTTCTCTTCCTCTGTTTCTGTTCTCCCTGGTTTAGGTATCAGAACCATATTTGTGTCAATAAAAGTAATTTGGTAGGATTTCTTCTTTAACTATTTTTTCAAATAGTTGTTGCTTAAATGTTTGGTAGAATTCATTTGTGAATCCATCTGGTCTTGGGGATTTTTTTCTTAGGGAGCTCACTGATGGCCTGTTCAATAACTTTTTTTTTTTTTTTTTTTGGCTAGGCAATGGGGTTAAGTGACTTGCCCAGGGTCACACAGCTAGTAAGTGTTATGTGTCTGAGGCCGAATTTGAACTCCGGTCCTCCTGAATCCAGGGTCAGTGCTCTATCCACTGCACCACTTAGCTGCCCCCTCAATTACTTTTTTAGATTGGTTTATTTGAGTATTCTATTTCCCCTTCCCTTAATCTGGGCAGTTCATACTTTTATAAACCCATTTCACTTAGATTGTCAGATTTATCGGCATATAATTGGGCAAAGTGACTTCGAGTAATTGCTTTAATTTCACCTTCATTGGTGATCCATTCACTCTTTTTATTTTTGATACTAGTAATTTAGTTTTCTTCTTTCATTTTTTAAATCAAATTAATCAAAGGTTTATCTTTTTCTTTTCTTTTCCTGAAACCAGTTCCTAGTTTTATTAGTTCAATGTTTTCTTTTTTTTAAAAAGTTACATATTGTTTTCCATTTTTTGTTTTTTTTTAAATTTATTTTGATTTATCAACAATAACTTCCACAAGCTTTTGAGTTTTAAATTTTTCTCCCCCTTCCTTCCCACCACCCTCCCCAAGACAGCACACAATCTGATATAAGCTATACATATACATTCTTATTAAACATATTTTCACATTAGTGATGTTGTAAGAATTAGAACCAATAAGAGGAACCATCAGAAAAAGGAAACAAAACACAACAGAAGGAAAAAAAAATAAATAGTATGCTTCAATCTGCATTCAAAGTCCATAGTTCTTTCTTTGGATGTGGATAGCATTTTCCATCATGAGGCCTTTGGAAATGTCTTAGATCCTTGTGCATTGCTGAGAAGGGTTAATTCTATCAATATTAGTCATCGCACAACACAGCTATTACTGTGTACAATGTTCTCCTGGTTCTGCTCACTTCACTCAGCATCAGACCATACAAATCTTTCCAGGTTTTTCTGAAGTCTGCCTGCTCATCATTTCTTACAGCATAATAGTATTCCATTACTTTAATATACCACAACTTGTTTAGCCATTTTCCAACTGATGGGCATCTTCTCAGTTTCCAATTCTTTGCTACCATAAAAAGAGCTGCTATAAATATTTTTGTACATGGGGGTCCTTTCCCATTTGTATGATCTCTGGGTCAAAGGGTATGCACATTTTTATAGCTCTTTGGGCATAGTTCCAAATTGCTCTACAAAATAGTTGGATCATTTCACAACTCCACCAACAATGCATTAGTGTTCCAATTTTCCCACATCTTCTCCAACATTTATCATTTTCCTGTTCTGTCACGTTGGCCAATCTGATAGGTGTGATGTGGTACCTCAGAGTTGTTTTGATTTGCATTTCTCTAATCAATAGTGATTTGGAGCATTTTATTCATATGACTATAGATGGCTTTAATTTCTTCATGTGAGAACTGCCTGTTTATATCCTTTGACCATTTATCAATTAGGGAATGACTTGTATTCTTATAAATTTGACTTAATTCTCTATATATTTTAGAAATGAGGCCCTTATCAGAGACACTGGTTGTAAAAATTCTTTCCCAATTTTCCATTTTTCTTCTAATCTTGGTTGCATTGGCTTTGTTTGTGCAAAAACTTTTCAATTTAATGTAATCAAAGTTATCCATTTTGCATTTCATAATGTTCTCTATCTCCTGTTTGGTCATGAATTCTTCTGTTCTCCATACATCTGACAGGTAAACTATTCCTTGCTCTACCAGTTTGCTTACAGTATCAGCCTTTATATCTAAATCATGAACCTATTTTAACTTTATTTTGGTATATGGTATGAGATTTTAGTCTATGCCTAATTTCTGCCATACTCTTTTCCAGTTTTCCCAGCAGCTTTTGTCAAACAGTGAGTTCTTATCCCAGAAGCTGGGTCTTTTGGTTTATCAAATAGTAGATTACTATGGTCATTGACTACTATGTCTTACATACTTAACCTATTCCACTGATCCATCACTCTACTTCTTAGCTAGTACCAAGCAGTTTTGATGATTGCTGCTTTATAATACAATTTAAGATCTAGAATGGCTAGGCCACCTTCTCCTGCATTTTTTTTTCATTAGTTCCCTTGATATTCTGGACCTTTTGTTATTCCAAATGAATCTTGTTATTTTTTCTAGCTCTGTAAAATAATTTTTTTGGTAGTTTGGTATGGCACTGAATAGGTAAATTAGCTTAGGTAGAATTGTCATTTTTATTATATTAGCTCGGCCTACCTATGAGCAACTGATGATTTTCCAATTATTTAGATCTGACTTTATTTGTATGAAAAGTGTTTTGTAATTGTGTTCATATAGTTCCTGGGTTTGTTTTGGAGGTAGACTCCTAAATATTTTATAATGTCTACAGTAACTTTAAATGGAATTTCTCTATCTCTTGCTGTTGGACTTTGTTTGTTATATATAGAAATGCTGATGATTTATGTGGGTTTATTTTATAGCCTGCAACTTTGCTAAAGTTGTTTATTATTTCAAGTAGTTTTTTACTTGATTCTCTAGGATTCTCTAAGTGTATCATCATATCATCTCTAAAGACTGATAGCTTTGTTTTTTCTTTGCCTATTCTAATACCTTCAATTTCAATGGTTTTCTTACTTTCAATTTTATGAATTTCTCCTTTGATCTTCAGGATTTCCATTTTGGTGTTTAATTAGAGATTTTTAATTTTTTTTTCTAGTTTTTTTTTTTTTTTAGTTGTATGCAATTCATTCACCAGCTCTTTCTCTCTACCTTGAGAGATATAAACTTTCCCCTAAGTATTGCTTTGGCTGCATCACAAAAGTGGGACAGAAGTCTTCCTGAGAGACAAAGGGTAAAAGAGACAGGTTCATCTTTGAAGTTCCCTACCTGGTAAGGGGGTCAGGACTCACTTCAGGGAAGGAAAAAAAAAAAAGCCTCCTAACAGGCCTTTCTCTCTCTACTTTCTCTCCTCTGAGTGATCCATCCTTAATACCAAAATAATCTTAGACACAATTGGTGGTTCATGAAGGAAACACAGAGCAGTTGAAAGACGGCTAGATTTGGAGATTCAATACCTTGGCTTGAATTCTTTTTCTGCTACTTACTCACTGTGTGACCTAACCTCCCTTGGACTCAGTTTACTCATCTACACATTGAGGGAGTTTAACTAGATGACCTCTAAGGTTGTTTTTTCCCCCTAGCTCCAAATCTATGATCACAGGTCACTTCCTCTGTTCAAAAGTCTTTAGTGGCTCCATGTTGGTAAAGTCTGAATTCCTTCTGTTATTCAAGGCCTTTCACTATCTGGCACCAGCCTTAGCCTTCAGTCCAGCTGAAGCTCAACAGTTCTGCCCAAATATGCACTGCTCATTCACTACCAATCCTCTGCTTATGCTATTTCCTGTGCTTTAGACGCCTTCTCTGTCTTTCCTTGCCTGTCGAATCTCTCCTTCTCCATTAATGCCCCATTCAAAGGCAACCCCTCTTCCACGGCACCTATCTTGATTTTACTCCGTTCAGTAACTGCACCCCTTGAATCTCACACCGCACCTGGTACTTTGAGGACAGGCCCTGTATGTGACAGTAAACTATGATGATAAGGTTCACAAGCTCATAGATTTATTATTGGAAAGGACTTCTGAGGCCACTGAATCTAGTTCCCTTATCTGGCAGGTGAGGAAATTGACACAGAGGATGTGGGAATTGATCGAACCACACTGACTCCATCTTATGATTTAATTCTGGATCTGGCTCAGTTCCCTTTCTATTCAGTTATGGGTTGAGTACATTTTCTATCTTGTGATAAAACTTTACTGCATTATTTAAACCTAGTCCTTCATGGCTGAGAAGTTGGACTACCTCTACCTGCTGCTTAGAGAACCTTAACTAAGGACCCTTAACCCAGTCAGATCTGAAGATTGGTACAGGGAGTTTTCTCATAACTATACATCTAAAGCAAATCTGAAAACGGGCCCAGTACTGGTCCATCAGTTATTGTTTCCTTGTTCCTTTCATTGAATACACTTGGGGGAGAGGGAGAAACCTCTTTTACTGATTTCAGGAAATCCCATTTTTCCCATTAGTATCTTGAGCACAGAATACTGACACATAGTAGGTATAAATATTTCTTGACCAAATCCACTTCTTTATCTTCTATGCTGGGCCAGCTTTCTCAAGCTCTCTCTCTTTTAGCACCCAGTACACACAATAGATGCTTTACTCAACTCTTGTTGAAAGATCCATGAACTACTTTTAATAACACTGATAGGGTATGGAATTTGAACTGGACCCTTAAAAGGACCCCAAAGCCCCTGAAAGAAATCTCTGGTGTTTGCCTGAGGCACCTAACCCAGCACAGTATGATCCTTTTAACTGCCCTTTCAACGTGACCCTCATTGTCTGCATCTGGCCCAACCCCAGACTATTTTGATACTTCTTAATTCCATCCAGACCCCTTTACTGTCACCTCCCAGTCACCGAAGCCTATTGGCCTCTCCTAGATCACATCCAGATCTTCCCACAGTCTTTCTGTATAAAAGATCCATCTTGTCCCCCATTAAATTGCTCAGATAACTTAACAGTCTGGCCCACTTGTCACAAATTTGCTGGTTCTTAAAGACCTGCCGCTTCTATTGGCAAAACAATAACCTTGTCTGACTAATAGAAGGCTTGAGTTGAATTCTTTCCAGGCAGGATCCTCGCCTTTTTCCCTAGAATTTCAGGGTTCCCAGCACCTTGTTTATTACTTTCCTTTGAAAGGTATTACATCTTATAAACTCCTATTTTTCTCCCCTTTGTATCCATAATAGATACGTTGGAGACATCTGTTGAATAAATGAATGTTGGTAGCATTTACATCAATATGCTTTTATTTCTAGGGGCAGGTGTTTCCATTTGGCCTAACCAACAAAATTATAACTAGTAATAGCTATTATAGTTAATGTACAATAGCTAACAACAATCCCATGAAGAAGATGCAATTAACTGAGCCTGAAACAGGTAAAGTGATTTGCCCCAGGTCACACAGCTATTAAGGTTCTGAGGCCAGATTTGAACTCAGAAAGTCCCCAGCTCTACCCACTGCACCTCCTTGGGAATAAGTAAGAGTCAACTATTAAGAAGACTCGTCAGTGAAAAACTCCCTGAGCAGCTCATTGGGGGGACTGAGGTAAAAACTAGGAGTCAAAACCAGACACATAGTTTTTTCTCTTCCTTAGATAGGTTTCCTTATCTGCAAAAGGGCAGTGATAATCTCTAAGGTCCCTCCCAGCATCAAGTTATATGATTTCTAAAGGTCCTTTTTGGTTTCCAGGCCATCTGTTCTGCTTCCTGCTTTTTTCTTGGCAAGCCTATTATGAACACCAGAATGAGTCAAGGCTGAAGCTTCCTGATTAGAAGGGTGGGTCCAGAGACACTCACTCCTCCAAAGACTTGGGTCCGGAGGGCCATCTAGGGTTGATCTGAGGCCAGTTGTAAGATGAGGAAGTTAGCTCGAAGGACTGCTAAAATCTGTGGGTGTATATATAGCCTCCCCAGTGTCTTGAGGTCTAATCTGGTACAATCCGAGAGCTCCCAGAAGGGATGCCGAGGCCAAGCTGACCCCAAAAGTCGGAACCTTTGTAGGAGAGGGAAGAGTAGGAGCTTGTCAGACAGACTGCGTTCCTCCCCACTCAGGCCCGTCCCAGAAAGGACATCTAGTCTAGTGTGCCAGAGAACCAAGCGGAAGAGTCCGTAAGAAGCCGGGGTGGATACAGCACTAAATGGCTCTCTAAACCGAAAGGGAATGCTAAGCCTAGTTCCGGTTAAGAGATGAGAATGCTCTTCTACCACAAATCCCTGGGCTAGGGGCACTCCCATCTGGAGGTAATTTTTACAGACTCGGTAGGCTGGCACTTCTCCGTGGACCCCCACGACCTCTTCCTATCAGCACACTCACTTGTTCTGGTTGCTGCCAAGTGCCCTTTCCGGAACTGAAGAGGGATGCTAGAGAGAAGCCCCAACAACGCCCGAAAGCCCTCCCGAGCCATGGCATCGAACTCAGGAAAGGATTCAGAAAACTAGCCGCTGGTGGGGAAGGGAGAAGAGGGCTAGCTCACCTGGGCCACGCCCTTCTAGGCTGCTATCTGAACATTTCCCGGGTTTCCGGGTACCTCCCCCCGGGATTCCGGCTAGGGGTCACGGAGCGGTCGTCCACCCCCACCTTTCCCAGCCCTAACAGACTCCTTACGGAAGGGGGAGAGGGCCACTTACGGATGGGTCTCAGAGCCTGGGGGCAGGAGATGCTGTCGGCGTTGCCGACGTTTCATCCCTCGGGAGTCGCAGGACTTTCCCCCCTCCACTTTCCCCCGTCTGCTTTTATAGACTTCCTGGCAGCCCCGGCCCAGGGAAGGGGAGGGGTGGGACCGGAGCATTTAAAGGGCCCACGGAGCATAGGTCGGAAGAAGGAGCTGACTCCACCGGGAGACTCCCGACCCTCTGATGGAAAGGGCTCCACTTCCTAAACCCATAATTTTGGGAGCCTGCGAGGAAGAGCCAAAGTTTTGGTTGATAGTCTCTTGGACCCAACTCTCAAGGAATCCTGGGACCTTACTTTTCCAAGTCCCCCCCCCCCCCCCCCCAGGGGGGGGGGAAGGGGAGGGAATTGCAAAGCCGCCTGAACTTCTGAGTTTCTCCGCCGTTAGCTACCACTCCTCCGCAGCCAGGGGATAAAGGGGAGTGGTGAGGGGATAGCTGCACAGTCTTTATTTGGATACTAAAGATTGGCATAAAAAACCTTAGAATGTAACTACTCAGTTACAAAAACCACCGCCGAAACACGGTCCACCCCACCACGTAGCTCTGCTCCGGTCGCTAGCTCCTTCTCCAGCCAGCCTCGTGCCAGGCGCGCTCGCGTCCTGGGGGCTGCAGAGGGGTGCCCCCGTCCCCTCAGTATTTCCGCTGCCTCAAGAAGAGCCCTCCTCCAGTGGGTCGGACGGGAGTGGTCGAAGGCGAGGGGTCGTCCGAGTCTAGGCTGAAGAGATCTCGGCCAGTCCTGAGGATCTGCTCCTCCAGCTTCTTGTGCCGCTTCATGTCGGACAGAACCTTGTCGAGGCGGGCCTCGCGCTTCTGACTCCGGGCCGAGCTCCCTGGAGGAGCCATGGATGGGAAGACTGAGGACCCCGCGCCCAGCTGCCCGGCTACCGCTAGGGGCTCCGGAGAGTGAGTAGTTAAGTTACACAAACTCCGCTGCACTTGGGGTGGCGGGCGGGGGGCGCAACGCTACGCCTAGCTGGCTTGGGGGGAAGAATGCTTTCTCCCTCTGAACCTCCCACCTGCTCCCCTCCCCTCCTGTTTCCACACAAGCTCCCCAATTCCGTACCTGGGGTACGTCTTCTGTCAATCAGAGAATCCTTGGGCGTCATGGGCTCATCATCAAAGTCAAATTCTGTGGGCACATGAGGTCTGGGGGGGCCAGCAAAAGAGAGAGAGGGTTGTTGGGCCGCTTCCTTTGTTCAACACAGCCAATGCAGAGGTGGGGGTGGGAGAAGGAGTGTCTAGGTGGGGGTTACCCTCTGCTTTTTTCCTCAATCTGCTTTCTGTATTTCTTTTTCATCTCTGCCCCTTAATTCCCTCCTGCTCTGTTCTTTATTCCTTGGCATTTACCCTGCTTTATAGGTGAAGCAGATAGAGTATTGGTCCTGGAGTTAGGAAGACCTGAGATAAAATCTAGCCTCAGACACTAGCTGTATGACCCTGGGCAAGTCACTAAACCTGGCTGCCTCAGTTTCCTCATCTGTAAATGGGGATCACAAATAGCACCTGCTCCTTTCCCCCGGTTTTGAGGATCACATGAGACAATATTTGTAAAGCAGGTTCGCTAGAGATGATGGCTGCTATCACAGCTTTCTCTTAAGCCTATACCCTACTCTCATCTAGCCCTTTCCCTCCCATCCCTTCTCCTTTGGTGCCATGTATCAGGAGGCTGCTACACTCACTCACTTTTCCTCTTCCTCCTCTTCTGCCTCTGGCTCTTCATCTGATTTCTCCTCTTCACTCTGGACCTCAGGTGTGGGAGGCCTTCGAGGTAGAACCTCAGCCTGGAGCTCCAGAGTCCCATGGGTGGCCAGCAGCTCATAGAGTTTTCGAATTTCAGCAGGGGGTGGCATCCAGGGCTCCCCATCCTGGGGTAACTCTAGCTCGTCATCACTGCAAGGCACACACCAGTCTTCTTTTCCTTCATCTTCTTCGTCGTCTTCTTCTTCCTCCTCGGATGTACCTGCCGGTTCTACCTGTGCCTCCTCAAGGGCGGGCTCCTCTGCTTCCCCCTGCACCTGGACTTCTTCTCTGGCCCTTTCCCTTCCCTCCTCCTCTGCCTCCTGGGCTGGGTCAGTCCGGGCAGGGGCCCCAGCAGGGTCTTCCACAGCCAAAGCCTCCAGGCCAGAAGTCACCTCCCCTTCCCCCGGCTCCAACGCTGCATTGGTCACCGCCAAGGACTCCATGGCCCTGGGCCAGGGCCCTTGAGCTGCAGGGGAGGAAGCCCTACAATGACTGACAGCTCAGGGGGCCGAGGGCCACCCAGGCACTGGCCTGCCCTCAGGGGGAGGTAAGTCAACAATAGGGATCCCCAATCCCAGTCAAGAAAGTAGGATCCACCAAGGGGATCTTGAAAAGGGATCTCCAGGCTGACAGCATAAGGGCTCGCTGCACCCCTCCCCTCTCCCCATTCCCCGCCCCCACCCCGACCCCCACCTCCAAGGTCTTCACTCAGCCCCAGGACTCTCCCCTGGGATCTCAAAGCATAGGGGAGAGGAAAAGTAGCTCTTTACAAAAAGCCACGCCCCCACCCCCAATTTATAAAGCCATCTCGGGAGAGAAGGCCACACACCTAGATGAGACGGAGTCTCCTGCCTCTCCCCCTTTTCCCCCGGGGGTCGGACACGGACAGGACTGGGGGATGGGCCGGTGAGCGAGGAGAGTCCACGCGCGCGCGCGCGCTTTTCCCACGTTAACTCCACCCCCTCCCAACTCTCCGCCCCAGCGACCGCGGCGCGCGCATCCACACGGGTCCCTGCGAAGTCGATCTCGGGACCAACCCCCACGGCCACGCGACGTCCACCCGCGTTCCTGTCCCGCGCGCGAGGAGAGCCGATACACACCTGGCGCAGCACCCTTACCCACCCCCATCACCCCCCAACTCCGGCCATAGTAGGCGCATGCGCCTGGAGCAGGACTCGAGGTCCGGAAGATGAGGGAAAAGCCCTGTAATATTCCGAGTCTGGCGTCTGCCAGGAGCTAAGATGGCTACCACAGCCGCGCGTGCGCACCGCACCAAAACTGTTTGGCGTAGGCATAGTTGTTCTTCCTGCGCTTCCTCCTTCCCCTTCCTCGCCCCCCCCCTCCCCGCCCCATTCGCGTCCCGCTTTCACAGACGCTAGATGTCTTAAGGCTCTTAAGAGGGGAACGAGAACCGACCGGTCATCACACACTTTTCTGTATCGCTTTAGGCTTTGCAAAGCGCTCTCTTCACTGCAACTCCACGAAGCAGGCAGGGCATGTTATCACCATACCCATTTTCCAGTTGAGGGAACTGAGGCTCAGAAAAGGGGTGGGGCTGCAGGGGAGCCGTCTGAGTTCTGAGAGTAGGATGTACCTAGGACCACCTAGAGACTATTAATGGGCGGGGCAGGGGGACAGCGGCGGGAGCGGACGGACAGATGGACAGAAGAAGCCGAGGGAGCAACATCTCATGCACAATCTCAGTTTATTGGTGTTCTGATTCATGCAGCATCCTCCATACAAAATGGGTAACCAGTAAGATAATTTTGTGTTTTTTTGTTTGTTTTTTTTTAGATCCGTGGGTTTCCCCCCCACACACTTTTTTTTTAAGAAAGGAAAAAAAAATTTTTCTCTGCCAACTGGGCTGGGTAGCTCCCCATCTCCACCCCCACCCCAAACCTCTTGCCCCGCCTTGTGCGGCAAAGTCGTCCTCTTCCCCTTAAAAAATCTACAAGGACACGCCCCTTGCAAGCCCAGGCTTCGAGCTCAGCCTCTGGGCATTTGGTCCGATTTTTTTGGCTTTTTTTTGGTTACAAAGCACGTGAATGGCACAACCCTCCCCCTGTAAATAAACTAATACATAAATAAACTGTTAAAATCCTCTCCTTTTGGCAGCCAGGGGAGGGGGATGTGGACTAGGGCACAGCACCCGCCCCAGTTCCATTCCCTCATGCGTGGTATGTGAGTAGAACAGGCATCACAGACCAAACAGCAATGCACCCCAGGCCTCTCCCCCCTCCCCCACCCCTACATGAAATCAGAAGACTCTTTAAGGCCCACCCCCTCCCTTCCCCTCATGCCCCTCAATGCAGCTCTCTCCCCATACTCTGATTCACAGGGAGATATATTTGGGAGGGGAGACCCTTAGTCTGCTCCCAGGAATTGTCTTTGAAGAGAATGAACAGTCATAGATACGCTGGGGTTTTGTTTTTGCATATCATTCCCAGGAGGATGTCCCACCATCACTCCTTTTCCCAACTTGAACTGGGCAGAGCCCCTGTCAACCCCTTCCTATGAGGGAAGGAGGAGGGGAGGCTTTCGAAAAGATCAGTCTTTTCAGCTGGAGGTGGGGAACAGGGTCAGGTCACCCACCACAGCCCCCACTTCAGTCTATTCAGTTTGTAGTATGCCCAGGAAAGGGGAAGGGGGAAGATAAGAAATTGAGGCAGTTTATGGAAAGGGAAATGAGAAAAAAGGGCAGATTGGGACTGGGAAAGACATGATGAAAAGAAAAGAGAGGTTGGGAGGAAGCCATGAAGAAAAAGAAAAGGAGGCTGAGAATATGGGAAGAAAATAAGGAAGATGAATAAGGGAAACAGGGGAGGGAGTAGAGAAGGTGGACAAGGGGATGGAAAGAAGGAAAAAAGGGAAAATAGGCAGGTGAGCAGAGAGGCTAGAAAAAGGGCTGGAAGAGTTGAACGAGGTGGGAGTGGGGAGGGAGAAGGGAGGAAAGGAATACTGTAAACAAGGCCCTTCTCCAGCTCCCTTGGTCTCTGTAGGATCAAGGGCTGGTGGTGGGGGCCATCATTAGGCCTCACCCCAGGGAAGAGATGGACCCCTGGTAGTTCAGAAGAAAAAGTCGTAGGGGCACAGGGTAGAGCCTCTCATTTAAATACTGTTCAGAGGAGAGAAAGGGATGGGGATGGAGGGAGGAGAGAGAGAGAGAGAGAGAGTTGGAGACAGAAAGAGTAGGTACATGAGATTAGTGATGCTACACCTCCACTAACAACCAGTTCCACTTTTCTTCAAATCTACCTGTATTTCCACAGAGCCACAGTCCTTCAAAGAAAACCAACCCCTCTCCACCCAGTCAATTCTCTAGCTTCCAGGCTCTACCATAAGCGCCCACCACTCACCCAACCCCTTCCCCATCCCCAACCCCATCCCCATTCCCACTCCCCAACCAACCCAAGTTCATACTTACATCCAAAGTTGATGATACAGGAGGCAATGATGATGAGGACCCCACCCACCAATGCCACGATACTCAACAGCTTGGCCACCCTTCCCAAGCGCTGAGCTCCATCCACATCACCCTGCTGTAGACTGTTCCGAGACTGGGGTGGTCACCAATAGCATTGAGGATCATGGTGAGGGTCCAACAAGGTGGTGAGGATCAGGTGACCATTATTATTCAGCCCAAGTGTCAGTCATAATGTATAGAGAGGAGAGGGAAGAAGGAGAAAAGGTTGATAGATCATCAGTTAAGGTCAAAAACTCTTTTTTCCCCTTTAGGGGTAAAGGATTTTCTGGGATACAAGGGCCAGGGAGAGATGAGATCAAAGGAGAGGAATAAGTGGACAGAAATCTAAAGAAGAGGCCCAGAATTTTTTGGAGATAGGGGTCTCAGGGTCCATGAGGAGGTGGCCCAGAAATAAGAAACACCCTCCCCCCAATTCTCATCACCCTCATCCTTGGGGTTTCTAAAGCATGGACATGGAGAACACTTGAATTGGAGTATAAGGGAGCTAGGGCAGAGGGAAGGTAGGGATTCCCAAGGACTCACCATGATGGCATAAGCAAAAGCCACAATGTTGACAGGCCACATTGGGCAGAAGCAAGACAGGATGGCGATGATGATGTAGTCACGTGGCTTTGGGATCTCTTCACCCCCCTCAACTCCTGGCCCCCCCAGCAGGGAGCTGGGATGGCGACTCAGGCTGCCTCTGGGGGAGCCAGGCTTTGTACCATGCCCCCCAACTCCTCTCTCCTCATCTACCAACTGCTGTAGCACCCTTGGGGGTGCCCCATTGGCTGGAGGGCCCTTGGGTGGAGGAGGAGAGTGGGGCTGAGGAATTGTGCCTTTGTCCCCCTCTCCAGCCTTCATTGGCACTACTGCCCCATTCTCTTGTTTCTCCATCAGGTCCTCGGTTAGGTCCTTAGGGGCTGTGGAGATAGGCATTGCCTTTTGGACAGGAGATGTGGGCTGGGGGACTGGCCTGAGGTCAGACACTGGCTCCTGCTTAGCCTGTTCTGCCTCTGGGCCTGGGGTTGGAGATGGTTCTTTGTTTACTTCCAGAACTGTGGCAGACTCTTTGCTCCCTTCTTGGGCCGGCTCTTTGCTGCCTTCTTGGGCCGGCTCTTTGCTGCCTTCTTGGGTTGGCTCTTTGCTCCCTTCTTGGGTTGGCTCTTTGCTCCCTTCTTGGGTGGGCTCTTTGCTCCCTTCTTGGGTGGGCTCTTTGCTGCCTTCTTGGGTTGGGACAGATTCTTTGTAGGTTTCTGGTGTTAGCTGAGGATGTGAGTCTGCTCCAGGACTCTGTTCTGGCAGTGAACTTCCTGGGTCTGGTATGGAGTCTGTTTCCTTGGCTGGGTTTGGGGTCCCTTCTAGTGCCTCTGAAGTTTTTATTGCCTGTTCAGGGGATGTCCCCACTTCTGAGCCTTCATCTGAGGGTCTGGTGGAATCTGAAACCATTTGGGGGGTCTCTGTGGTGTCCTCGGCCCCAGCTGGAGTCCAGGGAAGGGTAGTTTCTGCTGCAGGAGTAGTTGTTCCAGTCCCTTCGCCCTGGGCTGAGGTACCCTCCTCATCCCCCTTCATCTCTGCCCCATCAGAGCCACTGGATGCCATCTTGAGATGGGAGAGGGGAGGGATAGGATAGTGGGGGAAGGGGAGAGAGCAGCAACAGGATATCCTGGAATAAGAGGAGACACAGCTGGGTCTGGGGAAGGGAAAGTGTAGAACATGGAGCCCCGGAGCCTCAGCTGGCTCTGAATGGAGGCACCTCTGGCTCTGAAGAGGGGCAAGGTAATGGCCAAGTGTCAACTGACTCAGAGGGAAAGATCTCAAGAGATCCATGCTTTTCCCTCTGAGCTCGAGGGCAGGCTAGCAGCTTTGGGTAAGTAATGGAAAGAGCTGAGACTCGTCTTCCTTCCAGTTGGGACAGCAGTGAGGTGGGGTTTAAGGTGGGGGAGGTGGTGCTGCTGCCTGTGGGATTCTCAAAGTGAAGAAGATGATGGGGTGCCTTAGAAAGTGAGATTCTCCTTCACACCTGGGTTAACCCTTTGGGTGCCAGGAGCAGAAAGCTAGCCTTCCTTCAGCTCTCCACCCACACCCACTTTCTTCAGGGCCCCCTCCCCTGTGTCATCCAGAGAAACTCAGCCATGGATGGAGATGCAGACACGCATAGACAGACCCAGACGCTGAGCCATAAGCAGCAGGCAGGCAGTCACCGCCTTGCCTACCAAATACAGTCTCTCACAGGCACGCTCTCAGAACCCACTCTCAGGCAGATGGACACTCTTCCTTTCTGTCTCGCTCTACGCTCTCCCTTCTTTCCTCCATTCTCCCTCAAACTGGTTCCAGTCTCCCTCGTTTGGTAACTCTCCCCATCCCTTCTTCCTCCCTTCCCCCCCAACTCAGACTGGTGGTTTTCTTACTGCGTGCGTATGGAGCCCCCTCCCCTAGGGAAGGGGGAATCCCTTATTTCTCTCCAATCTCTTCTCCCAGGGGAGCGCCACCCTCCCTGCTGCTTTTCCCTCAGGTCCCCGTGCCTTTACATTACCTTAGCATCTTGGTTTCGCATGCACCGTTTCCCTCCAGCTCCTCAGTCACCATCCAGAACCCTGGTACCTCTCTCACCCCCACCCCACCACCCGCAGGGACCCCGCATTATTGCGAGGGGGCTCCATTTGTCCATGCACCCTACATTCACACAGTGAACCTCTTCCACTCCTACCCCCTGGGCCCCCGGGCCCTTCCGCACAACACTCTCCGCTCACCTCCTCTTCTTTTCCCAGAGCCCTGGGGGCTGCTCCTGCCGCCGCCGCCGCCGCCGCTGCTGCAGCAGCCAGGGAGCAAGCGAGCGAGCCAGCGAGCGAGCGAGCGAGCGAGGAAGCGGTTCCCCCCTCCCTCCTTCTACCCCGCCTTGCGCGCGCCGCCCCCGCCCCCCAGCACTCCATCGCCTCCCCTCCCATCCTGGACCCGGGGGAGCCTCGCACGCTGGGGCCCTGAGTTACCCTGGCAACCAGCAGGTTGCCTCGCGCCCCCACCCCTCCTCACCCAGCGACCCCCCCCAGGCCCTCGCGCCCCCTTCCAGCCCAACGGTCGCCGAACTTCCCTTCCCCCTCCCTCAGCTTGAAGGGCTGCGGTGCGGGGTGTGAGACCAGACGGGAGAGGCTGGCATAGGGGGAAGGGGAGAGGAGCCAGGGCTGTGTCCGGAGAGGGGGGACAGGCTAGGCTGCGGGATCAGGGTATGGGCGGTGGGAGAGAGAAGGGACCCACAGGGGAGCGCAGGAAGAGAGGGGTCCCCCTCCCCCCCAAAAAAGTGGACCAGGGGCAGGCGGAAAGGGCAGGGGCAGAAGGGTCCGAGAGTGATAAGAACGTGAAAAGGAAGGGGTTGGGATGTGGGGCGCAGGTACAGGGGCTGTGAAGGAGCACCTCAGGGAAGGCTGGTAAGCCTCAGGGTAGGTAAAGGCAGGAATTGGGTGTCCGTAGGGGCCAACTGCAACTTCTCTTCTTCACTGGCCCCACCCACCCACGGTCCTGGGGCTTTCAGACTTTCCCCAGCCTTGCCACTGTTCCAGCTTGCATCGATGACATGACTTTGCAGGTATTTGACTGTGGGGTCCCAAGATATGCCCTTTGGCAGGGATGCTGGGGGGAGCTGGCTCTGCCCAAAACGGAGCAGATAGCCCGCGAATGTCTAGCAGAAGTCTTGAATAGCGATTAGCTTCTCCAGGGCAGGGATTTCCCCAGAGACCTAGGAGTCCTGGAGCTTGCTAGCCACAGACACTGGATCCTCCCTGCTCCACCCTGCATCTGGGCTGCAGCCACTGGTGTCCTCCACTAAAGAGGGAGATGAGAACTGAGGAGTCTGAGATCAGGACCCGCCCCCCGTAATGAAAGGAACAGACTCTGGTGTCTGGGTGGGTGGAAGGAAAAGGGATAGAGGAGAGCAGTGGGGGCTGCTATTGTTGACCCCAGCTTGGCAGGTGTAGGCATCTACGTGTGATTAAGATGGTAGTGGAGTAAGAGACAAATAGCCAGAATCAGATATCTGTTTTTGTTTAAAATTTATTATAATGGGGTCCGAAAAGGGAGGGGGTGAAGGGTGGGGAACATGCAGGGGACACAGGAACACGATGTCATGGCTAGGGCCACAATTTCTGTTGGGGAAAGGAGGGGAAAAAAGGGATAAAAAAAAAAGACAGAACTACAGTTGAGATGAGAGGGGATGGGGGAAATACTGCCGCTGCATTCCCCCCCTGGGAAGCACCTTTATTTTCCGGCACCCCCAAAACTTTATCCTCTCATTCTGTCCTTTACTTACCCTACTCCCCTCCCCCAAGGTCCCGCCTCTTACTCTGCCTTCTCCCCAAAATGTTTTATCCCCTTACTTGCCCAGTCTTCTTTATGATACATTCTAGAGGGATAAGATTAGGGCCAAGACCCCAAACAAACCTCCACCTGTGACACTAAGTCCTTTATTGTTTGCCCCTCACCTCAACCTCTTTCTTTCCAAATCTCTCTTCTCCCCACACCCAGGACAGTATCTTTGATTTCCCTTCTTTCTTCCTCCACACTCTTACCCCGCCCCCCCATTTAAACAGCACCAACTCCCCAGGGATGGGCAGCAGACAGTAGGCAAATAGGGGACTGGAGAAGTGGGAAGGAAAAGGACCTTCAAGGGAAAAAGGTTCTTGAATCCCTGGGAGAGCATGGGAAGGGCGATGGAGAAGAGAGGGCAATGAGACAGTTGGTTTGTCCTCTGCCACCCCTGATATTAGCTTAGGGGGCCCCCAAATCACCAGAGGAACAATGGGGTTCATATAGGGAGAGGGGAGATAGAAGAGAAACAAATGTTTAAAATCTAGTGAATTCCCCTAAGAAAACATTTCTTCACTCCTTCCTTCTGGTGGCTCCTTGGTTGGTGGGAGAAGGAACTGAGTTGGTGGGAAGCGGGGTGGGAGAGGAGAGAGAGGACTGAGGCCTTTCCTCTACACCCCAACCCCCACCTCAGGGCTCACCAGGGCTGTGAGGGAAGTGGCTGAGAGCTCACAGGGACACCCTCTGCCCCAGAAAGGGAGCCCACAGCTGTGGGGGTAGCTGCTGCAACTGCTGCTGCTGCTGCCGCCGCTGCTGCTGCTGCTGATGCTGCTGCTGCCATAGGACAAACCTCACCTGTACCTGCAGCAAGAAGGGAGGGGAAGAGGGGAAAAAAGAGAGACAAAGAGTTATCAGTGTGGAACCTGTGGCAAGATCTTTCTCCCTTGTAGCTGCTTCCCCTCTCTGCCTGGGAAGCTGTTTCTTGTACCATTCCCTCCCCTGGGACACAGCCGTTACACATTTCCTGCTCCCTCTCCAGAGGTTCAGGTTTTCTCTTTCCAGCCTGTCTTCTTTCCCTTGGAGACACTTCAAAAGTTCTCCTCAAAGGCCCTCCCTACCCCAAGTTCCTCCCTAGCCTATATTCCCTAGTGACCCTATCCTGCCCCTCTGGGCCTTCCTAAGTACCCTTATCCTACCCCTGGGGTCCTCTGATCCCCTTCCACCCCTCACCCCCCATGCCCCACCAGCCATGCGCTGCGCCTTGCCTGGTGGGTGCAGGGGTTCCCCTCAGCAGGTGGGCTGCGGCGGTGGCGGCTGTGGTTGGGGGGCGTCTCCAGGGACAGGGGGTGCGGCCCCCCCGAGGTGGGTCTGCATGTGGCCAGCCAGCTGGGTGGGGGTCTTGCAGTGCACACTGCAGAGCTTGCACAGGAGCCGGTCGGGCCGGGGGGCCTGGAGCCCGTGGTCCTTCACCGCATGGACGCGCAGGTATGCCGCCGTGGTGAAGCCTACGGGGTGACCGGGATGGGGACAGGGACAGGGGTCAGCTAAGTGGAGACCCCGGAGACGGGGATGTTCTCCTAGGTTGGGGACTCAAGTCCTCACTAATAGTTAGGTCAGCTATGTCCAACAACCTGGGGAATATCTTTCTATTCAGGTAGTGATTTTCTGCCCTTCTGCCCAGAAGTGGTATTCTCTTTTCATTCCCCAAACTTAGAACTTTGTCTACTCAGGAGATATTCCTTCCCAGAGATAGCTGTGATCTCTCTCCCCAGGACCCATAGAGCTTATTCTTCCCAACTGGCAAAACCCTCTCCAGAGGTGGCAGGAGATAGGATTCCTAGTTGCTCAGGGCATTTTTTCTAAGTGAATGTATCCTTCCCCAGAGACGGCTGTGTCCCCCAACCCCCCCAAATCCTAAGAATTTAGTTCCCAATTACTGAGGAAACTTACTCCATTTAAAGAAGCTTGTTCTGCTCAACAAACAATTCTTCCCCAGAGCTGCCCACATTATCTCTCAGATGCAGGTCTTTGCTCTTCTATCACCCACCCCCCATTCCAGTTACAGTTACTGTCACCCAGAGGGATTAGCATTCTCTGCCTGGTGTGTCCTTCCACAAACACTATTTGTTGCATGTTCTTCCCCAAACACTGATGGACACATTATATCCAGTCAACTTGTTCTCAGTGTATCTCTTTACAGAAGCAGTTGCATCTTTTGTTTCTTAACACTGAGGGAAACCAGTTCCCAATTTCCCATGAAGTTTGTTCTGTTTGGCTACTTCTTTCCCAGAGGTAACTGCATCCCACCTATCTTTTCCTCAGTAAGACTTAGAAGATGAGAGCATCATTTCTTAGCAATAAGCTGTGTGTTCTCCCTGATAACATAAATGTGGTTCTGTTAACTTTAGGTCTTTTAGTAAGCTACTGTGTCTCTCTCCAGATGCAGCTGCACTCTACTTATCCAAGGGGAAACCAACTGATTCTTTGAACTGTACATCAGGAAACCATTCCCTTCTGCTACAGCCTTGCTGATTTATAGCTTTCATCATGGAATTCAGCAGTATAGTGAGCCCTTGGCTATTTTAACCTAGTACCTTCCAGCTCTTTCACTCCCTACCTTTGTTGCAGAGCTCGCAGACGTGGTGAGGCCCTTGGCTGTGCACCTTCATGTGGTCGGAAATGTAGGCTGCACTCAGCATCTTGCCACATACGTGGCATGGCACCTTCTCTTCATGCCGCACCGTATGTGCTCGAAGTCGGTCCTTGGTAGCAAATGCTGCTTCACATGTCTGTGGCAGAGAAGTCAGAGAAGAAGTTAAGAGCTATTAGAGAAAGGGGATGAGTATTGGGGATGGGGGGATAAAGTCAAAGCCCCAGAAACGTGGAGTATGGGATCTTAGAGCCATAGGCGAATAGGAATGAAAAGATTAAACCTTTAAGAAGGAATAAGAATTGAATTAAAGGCCAAATAGAAATTAGAATTCTGAGAGAATAAGATCTGAGAGGCTGAGTCTGGATAGGCGTAAAGGGGTTTAAATAATGAAAAAGTAGCAGTACATCAATGTCTCCATACCGCACATTTGAAGGGCCGTTCTGTGGAGTGCACCTGTCTGACGTGGCTGTTGAGGTGGTCTGGCCTGGGGGAATTTGTTAGGGGAAGGGGTTAGGCAGTTGGCCTTAAAAGTGGGGGTGATCCCACTTCCCCTACTCTTTACTGTGTTTCTTCCCATTAGAAAGTGCATCCTTTTTTGAAGTCCAGCAACTGTTATTTACCCAGGAAGTCCCTCCCCTCATGCAAGACTTCTTCCCACT